TTGCAAATTCGCTCGTCGTTTCGAGATTTCAGTGCTATATTTTTTTTTTGCCCCAAAGTGTTGTCTGTGTTGACGGTGTTTTTACTAAAATTTTATTTAATTTATTTATATGTGATTGCATTGGTGTAATGACTAAGCGATGCAGAGCGTCAAATGAGCGATTGAGTGATGATGATGGCGCGATTGTTGGGCAATGGACTGGGCCAAATGAGTGAATGTCTGAAATGAAGTGTGCTTTAATTGGCGCAAAAGCGGGGCAATGAACGCGTGGGTGTGTGTATGTACAAATGCATGCGCCTCGTTCGTTTACTGTTGTTGTTGTTTTTTTATTGCTGCACATTGCGACTTTTCACATGCTGTCACATCGAAAGCTAGCTATTTATCAGAGTTGTTGTTGTTGTTGTTGTTGTTTGTTATCTAACCAATTCACACCTAGATGTGTTGTGTATACATACATATATATACATAATATGTACATATGTACGCTGCGGTTCATTAACTTTTCGTTTCGGTCGCACTTTCCGGTGAAAATGCGGTCAACAGCCGCGTTGTGCCAAGCAGATTTTCGTATTTGCATATTTGCACATAAATACATACATACAAATATACAAATATACAAATAAACAAATAAACAAGAAACAAACAGCCGTTCGAATGCAAATGCCCACCACGTGTCAGTTTGTCGCCCGTTTCCGCACATTGACCGACATTTGAAGCTTGGCGTAGACTCTGCTGACGTTAAGGCGCTTGGTGCATGCACATACAAACACACATAAATTGACACTGTTTTTGATAAATTGTATTATTGTTGCCATCAAATGCACGAGCGCGAAAGTGTTGCTACTTTTTCGCTACACATCTCTCCACAAGCATACATACATACATACTTACTTATATACAGACTTATTTACCAATTGTTAGCTACGTAAATTGCAATTACAAATTTATTTAAATTCTTCTCGGGTTTTTTGCAAAATGTTGCAATTAATTCGCTTGCTCGTGTTGATCGTTAAAAGCAACAAAATAAGCTTGGGAAAACGTGTCGCGATTCTGACAAATATGTTTGTACATGAGCACATATTTATATACCCACCTATAAGGTGTATTTGTTGCAATTTTCTTATTATTATTAGTATTATTATTATCATTATTTAGCACAAGCCATTTCTGGGTTCATTGTCCGTTCGAGGGCAAATAGCTAAGCTCTAAGCAAGCGAGCAGCAGCCGTTTGCATATTTACATTTTCCACGGAGCAGTGGCCGCCATTACAAAGGAGGTGAAAAAAAATTTGCTAGTTTTTCTACAATAAAACTATTGCGTTGTTTTACTGAAAATATAAAATAAAAAATTATTGCTATCGCTTGTGTCGCCGGCCAAAACCAAATACCGTTATATGTAGATGATTTGGCATCTGAAGGGATCAACAAAATTTTCTTCAAATAGATTTTTAGAAAGCTGAGTTATCAATGCAATTTGTTTTGTTTTTAATTTTGTTTATCAAAGGGAATTCTTTAGCCTCTAGTGCTAACTGTTGAGGATAACAGAGCAAAACGGAGGCTGTCATGTGGACCTGGTTTTAAATTCATTATGAAAGCAAAACCTCCCGCTTTTTAAAAGCAGAAAACCGTAAAGTGTAAAATGAGTTAAATAAAAAAAAATAATATAAATAAAACATAATAAAACAAAATAAAACAAAATAAAAATATAAATTAAAACTAAATATAAATAAAAAAAATAATATAAATAAAACATAATAAAACAAAAAAAAAAATAATAAAAATGAATTTAAATAAAAATAATAATATAAATTAAATGAAAAAAATTAAATAAATTGAAACAGCCAAATATTAAAAAACAAAAGAAAATATAGTAATATAATAAAAGAAAATTAAATAAATGAATTAAAAATTTTTATTTAAAAAATTCGAACAATTCGTTACTCATATTTGAATGAAACTTTTTCTAAACATTTTTTTCCAATCCTGTATTTTTTATTTTAAACAGGTGGTTAATTTATACAGGTGAAACCTTATTTATAGAATAAGAGCAAAAAAAAAAACAGAATAATATTAAAAAGTAATAATAAATTGATTAATTTTTTCTTTTGGTTTCTTTTAAATTGGCTTTTTTATTTGGCAACTGCATCTCATAGCTTTTAGTGCAACTGCCGATATAGCCGACTGACCAGTTCGACTGTTGCACATAGCGATTGCCATACGAACAGCGCTGCCCCAACGAACACAATTTCTTCCCATTTTCATACATTTACGAGTCTGTATGCACTACTCTCACAGTCTCTTTCTCCCAGTAGGCGTTTCTGGCATTGCTCTAATCGCAAATCGTCAATTTGAATTTTTCGCTTTATTACTTTTTTAGCAGAATTTGTAATGCAAACAGTTGGTAACGACAGAATTTGCCTACGCAGCAATTGCTGGGAAGAAAAGATATCTACGCACAGTGTATATATTGTACGACTGGGGGTGGTAATGTTTGAAAAAGTACATTTTCTCATTGCAATGTATTCCTCTAATTGGTTTCCTTATGCATCCTCATTCGTTGTAGCAGCAATCAGTTGCATAAACCGGCCGGTCGGTTGCCAGGTGCCAAAAAAAAAAATTTAGTTAGACACATATTTTGCAAACATGGAAATGGACATTAGGGTAATATACAACAAACATTGTTAATGGCAGAAAATATTATAAAATCATAAGAGAAAGAAAAAATAAAGACATAAAATTAAATAATTAAAAATATAAATATTATAGATAAATTGAATTAAATTAAAAAAATGATATTAAACAAAATAAAGAAGATTAAATTGTAAATTAAATAAAACAAAAAAGATTGTAAAAAAATAAAATAAACTAAATTGAAATCAAGCGCGTTCAAAGTAGCACAAAATAAACGATATTAATAATACTGATGTGATATAAAAGTTTTTCAAACGCAAATTTCTTATAAGAGCCAGCCATAAATCAGTATTTATTGTACATATCCGTATATTTAGGTATTTTTCAAATCTGCCACAGCCGACGAACGTTCCACGCTTGGCAAAGCAATTCTTTCTTTACACATTGCATTCGTTGCCACCTCCACTAATGCACCTCGCCGCGGTGCATCTCCATGCACAGCTACAATCATATCATATGGGCATGTGTATGTAAGCACAAAGTTGCTTTCAATTGCATTTGTTTATTTATTCAGCTTTTCACTTGCATGTTCTCTTGCACTCTCTCTCTCTCTCTATTCGGCTGTCTGTTTGGCTTTTCTCTCTTTTGCAATTTTGCCATTCTCGCTTTTCTCATTTGGTGCATTTCTATTTTTGCATTCGGCACATTTCGGGTTTTTGCTCTTCATTTGCATTTCCCTATACTTGCGCTCTCTTTCTCTATGGCTCCAATTCGGTGCAGCTACATTGTACCGTGTACCGCCTCACCCCACAGAAGATTGTCCAACAGTTGTTGGGCTGGCAACGAACACCCAAACTGGCCTCCCATCTTTCTTACTTTGGGTTATTTAGTGTCTATGGCTATGTCTATGGATGAATGTATGTAGGTATGTGACATTGTAATTTTGGATTAGCGAAACTCTTTGGCTGCGAGCCTAGCTGATGACTATGCCCAAGTGTTAGCCCAGCGAACCACAAATGCACAACAGAAACAAAAGGCTGAACAAAATCTTCATTTAACGAACAAGAAGGGCAGTCAACCGATTGGATTCCCAAGTTATTCGGACCTTAAGCTACTTGAGCTGAGCCTGTTGCCCGGTTGCATGAACAAGAAGCTGCAAATAGTATCGTGGGTACATCTCATCTCTTTCCAAAAAATTGCCCGCCTACCGCGCATGGCTTAAGAGCGTGTTCTCAGTTGAAACTTTTTTAAGTTTCCGTGGCTAATGGGGTTTTGTTCGTGAAATGAAATTCTATTCATATCTGTGGAGGATTAAGTTTTATTCTTTTATCACCCATTCCCTCTTCCATATACACAGATTTCCGCTTTCAGCTGAGTTTTCAGCTCCCATCAAATGTCGTAGGTTCTAGAAGACCATTCAGTTGATTCCCACCTTCTTCAACTGCTTCTGGTTACATTGAATTTTTATTTTATAATTATTATTATTATCTCTTTGTTTCATCTTTCCTACAGCAATTATGTATTTGCTTTTATTACGCTTGCTATTTTGTGTGCTTGCATATTCTCCGCTCTCGCATCATACGCTTTCATAAGCTCTTCTCGCTGCTCATCCGCTTCAGCGCAAATTACCGGTCGCGAATTTCTTTTTTTGTTTTATTTTCGCAATCTTTCTCGTTCGCGTTCTATTTTTAGTTTTTATTTAATGGTTATGTTTATTTTTATTTCTTTCCTCAATTCTGTAATCTCGTTTCTTTGTGTATGTTTTCCCATTTCAATTCATGGCTTTTTTGTTTTGCTTCTCTTCATGACTCTGTTCTTTGCTCGTATCGATGTTTTCCATCAGTTCTTCGCCCGTTCCATGGGCTGGTGGCTCTAGTCAGTTGTGTGGCTTTATGGCTAAGCCAGCTGGCCTGCAGACTGGCTGATTGGCTGACGGTCTGTCGCTCTAACTCGATTCTCCGCCTCAACCTATGTGTGCTCCATTCAACCGTCCATTTGCCGTCGCTGCCTCTTTAGCTAAACTTTCGCGACAAATTCACACACACACACACACACACACACAAACCTTGCATATAGACCTTCATCCGCGTGTGCGCTTGCACCCGATCTCGCCGTGTGCTGTAGTTAGTTGCTTTGCTCATCTCGTTTTGTTTTACGCAACTTATTTGTGCCTTTCTTGCGTATTTTGCATTCAAACTACTTACATATACTACATACAATATACTCGTATGCACCCACCACCGCACACCGCAACTCGCGGCCTACACTCTGTTAGGCTATACGAGTATGCTTTTGGTTGGCTTCTGGAGCTGCGACGGCTGTGTTCGGTCGGGTTTTGGCTTGGCTGCTGCTGCTGTTGCTGTTGCTGTTGTTGCTGTTGCTGTTCGCTATTTTGTTAGTTTTGCCAGTTTGCTGCCTGTCCGATTGTTCTCTTCATTTGTCGATTTAGTAGTGCGGTGTTGTTTTTGCATATCCTATACATATGTGCGCTTGCTTATGTACTTGTAGATGTAAATGTAGGTGTGTGTTCTCTGCGCTGCGTTGGCTCTGGTCTTTGGTTTGGCAGCATGTCTCCCTCAGTGTTGCTATATCTTCTCTATCTCGATGTGCGCTTCGTTCGTTACATTCGTGGACGTTGTTCGTAGTCGGCTGCCCGGTTGCCGGCTGCCGGCAGTGTTGTGTTAGTTGACAGTGTTCAGTGGGCTTGAGGTGACGAAAGTAGCATAAAATAAAACAACTACAATATCTATAAGGAACAGGTTTCGGCTCGGAGTATGCTCGAAAGCCTGATTTTTGATGATGAGTGTTCTTGGGGAGAAATCATATAAGTCTTCGCATAAGAAAGGCCCACATTATTATCGAATTCGGTTAATAAAAGTTTAAAAAATAATAATAAATCAAGCTTTGCGATAACGAATATAATCGGTATTTAAAAATCATATTTCAAAAACCAGACTTTCTTTGATAGATCCTGCCTTCTAGCAGACCGAATTTGGTTTCAAAAACATATAGCTCCCAATTCTATAACGACATTTTTTTTAAAACTTCCACAAATGAGGGGATGGGAACTTTAGATGTGGTAATCTGCTTACCCACCTAGAAATTTTCCCAACCAAGCACCCGAAATTTGGTTTTTGCTTATCTACCATTGGTAGGATGCTCACAGCGGGCCGGCCACGATCCAAGTGATTATTCACTGCCTTCGCCCCACTGTACAAAAACCATCACCGTCACTACTGCCGCTGGAATTTGTTCGCCGCCTTCGCTGCTGCTGCCGATGCCACTCCGTCACCGCCTCTTACCTCTAACTACGGCTGCATGTAACTGCCTTTTGTTTCTGGCATTGCGACGCGTTGTTTGGCATTTTGCTTTAGCTGCTGGCCTCCTCCTGCTCCGCCTCTGCCCAGCGCAGTAGGCTCCCCATCACCAGCCATCGATACTGCTCCGGCTCTGCACGTCAACGTTTGCATTGCGCTTTACTACACTCTTTTATGTGGTTTGTTGGTATGCTGTTTTGCTTTGCTTTGCTTTGCTTTGTTTTGTTGCTTTTTTTCTATTTTCCTCATTTTTTTATATGCCTTCTTATTTCACTTCGTTTTTCGATTTTTGCTCGCACTCTTTGCTATGGGTTTTTGCTGTTTTGCTCAATGCCTTAGCTATGGGTTGCCATTGTTCGTGTTGTTGTTGTGGTTTGCTGTTGTTGTTATTATTGCATTTGAGACGATGTCTGTGTCTGTTGTCGATGTTCTCTATTTTCCCCAATCGCGCAGTGCCTTTTCGCATTCATATTCGTACTATATTCTCGCGCGCTCTCTGCATTCAGTTATTCGCCGATAATTGATGTCAAAGGACGCGTTACGGCGTCGGTCATACGGCGCGTATAATTAACAAGGATTTTGTTATTAACAATAATATATATAATAATAAAGAAATTGTTATTTGCCGCAGTTCCGGGTTCGGTGTTCCGTATTTTCAGTTTTCCACTTCCGCTTCGACAAAAGTTCGCCACCGCATTCAAACGGGCGTACACTTTATACCGTTATCATTTCATCAATCGTAAGCGGCGCTTTATTACCTATGTTTGTATGTAAACTCATACAAACATATACATAAATATTTCTCAATAAGGAAACGCTATCAAAATAATACGCGTGCGCGCATTCATTTTTTCTCGACGCCCGCTTTAGCCTCGTCTTCCGCTTTGCTGTTTTGTTTTCGCCGCCGTCTTCGCCGATCCAGCGCCGTTCGCAATGCCAAAAGAGGATCCGTTCGTGAATCGCGCCCAGCTGTTGAAGGCCATCAAAAAGTACCCGGAAATATGGGATTCAAATAACAAGCTGCACATGTGTCGTAGCGTCACGGCGCCGATGTGGAATGAGATAGCCGAACAGTTTGGCGGACATGTGCCCACTGGTAAGACAGAGAGAGAGTCATAGAGGGAGAGAGAGAAAAAGAGAGTGGGAGAGTATAAGGGAGGGAGACTGAAATTTAAAGTTTAACTGAATATTGCTTGTGGTTAAGCCATGCCAAGAGCAAACAACTCATTTTTTCCCAACTTAGACTTGAGTTTTCTTTAGTTAGGTTAAGGCTAAGGTAACCATTGAAGTTAGCTATGAGTTAAAGAAATAGCAGAGGTTAAAGAAAGTGATAAATATGTAACTTAATGCACGGAAGACAATTTGTGTATGAAAGATTTTAGTTTTTATAAGCACGAAGGTTGAGGGGAAGATTAACAATTAAAGGATAATGGTCAAGGAATGTTAAGGTCAAGTAGTAATTGTTAAGAATTATTTGTAAGTGTAGTAACCTACAGGTTGACTGGAGAGAACTCATTCATTGTATGTCGGTCATATTATGTTGACAATTGCCGTTGGGCAATAAGTAAAGCCAAATATTACGCTCAGACAGATAATTTTAGTATCGCTAATATCGCAGTAGCATCCATTTTCCTAAAAAATTCATCAAACTCCCTGAGGAAGTGTAAACTTAGAGACGTATGTGGGGCAGAGGACAACCTTTAAAACTACCTAACCCAACAATCTTCATCTCTTCCATCCAGTGAAACTGCAATCCATTTGGAGTCAAATGAAGTATCACTACCACAACCTGGTGCACAGACAGATTTTACATAAGGAACGTTTCACTACAAAATGGGAGCACTTCGAACCGATGTCTTTCATGTACAACATAACGGTGGCGAAAATCGTCGGTGCTGCAGGTGGCAATGATGCTAACCAACAACAACACTTGCAGTCACCAACAACAGTCTCACTGCCCACACCACCACCGACGCCAACTACGCCACAAACCCAGGGTCGCGGCCGTCCAAGCGGTAGCTTCACTTGGCTGCCAGCACAACCACAGCAGCAGCAACAACAGCAACAGCAACAGCAGACACAGCAAATGCAACAACAACAGCTACTGCAAACGACATTACCAACACAAATGCATGAGCAATTGACAGTCGGTGGTTTACCACAGCCGCTACTACCCTCAACACCACTCACACCCCAAACAGAGGTGAGTGTTGAGACAAGTCCTTTCATTGGTTTCACGGGACTTGTGCCACCGGCTGCTATAACAGTAGAGGCCACAACGACACCTATGCGTAAACCTGGACGTCCAGGTTCGATGAACAACAGCATGCGCGGACGCATTATTGACGTGATCAAAGCACATCCACCGCTCTGGGTTGGACGCCAATTGGAGGCAGTGCCAGGGCAGCGTAAGGCGCAAAATCGTACGTCTGCTGTGTGGAAGGAGGTTGCAGCAGAATTGGGACTCACAGCAAGTAAGTAGCGGATAAAAAGAAATTATACATAATACAATTTTAGTAGTTTATATTTTATGAAAGCCTGGCGATAGATTGAAGTTTCACCCATGCCATCTCTGAATATCTGTTTTTCTTCTCTCTTTTTCGAACCACCAGGTCTCGTGCAGACCCGCTGGTCCATCATCAAGCAGCGCTACGTCGATGAACTGCAGAAGGAGCGCCGCGCGCACTTCACACAACAAGCATTCAACTCTACCTGGGAGCACTTCGAGCGTATGGAGTTTATGCGCGACATACTCATCAAGAAGGTGGACGAGCGTGAGCAGACGCGTGAACAGATACAAGAGATTGTTAGCGAACATCAGCAGCTACAATCGGCTGCCGCGCAGCATATGCGTTATATGCGCCTCGGAATGCCGCCTCCGATGAGCATGTTGGGCTCCACCTCGGGTGTTTACGAGGACGGCAGTGTGGTGGGTATGGTGCCACTACATCAAACTGCAGGCGTGGTCGGTGGTATTGGTGGTGGCACCGGCACTGGTGTTATAGGTATGGGACGGCGTTTGGGTGTGGGTGGACGTGTAAAGTCCGAGACCGACTTGGAGTGGGATCCATTCGAAATGATTTTGCATGTGCATGGCACTGAACCGGCAGCTAATTGAAGGAATAACTGCAGCTTCATAGAGCTTAGAGCAAAGAGGTGGTGTGGGACATTCAATGGTGAGAGGGAAATTAATATTCAAGTTAAGAGAAATGAACATTGGGATATCGCAATAAGACTAACTGGTCCCTGCACCGACTACTGAACACTAAACAGTGAGAAAAACTAAGAAACTAAAGAAAAATCTTGCGTATCCTTAAGTCAATGTGTGAATTTCCTTGATTTTTGACTCCTTAACTGAAGTGAAAAGTTTAGTAGTTAAAAATTTAAAAAATCTAGTTGATCAAATCAACTTAACTGTTTATTATACATACATATAAGTGTACTAACTGTATTTAGGAACCTTCAAAAGGCAATGCTAGTAGAGGCAAGACTGAGTTGACGAAAACTATTTCAAAAAAGGAAAATATTTCTTAAAACTTACTAGCGAGTAACTCTGAAAATACACTGCAAAAAACACATAACTAGTTCGACATACATACTGACACCTTTGATTCTTTCAAATATATGTGTCCGTGGGTATAAACTGAGCAAAACAAATGTTTATATGTGTCTAGTTTTTAATAAAGAAATTGTACACATTAACTAGAAAAGTTGGTGTAAAGTAAAAAATTATACTTCGAAATAATCTAGACTGTATTCTACTAAAAGTATATTTTGAAAGGTTATGTTTTGTAATGACACGAATACCAGTAATTATAAATATATATAGCAATTAAATAAATATTATTAATTTACTTAATAGGCATTTGAATACTTCTTTTCGAAGAGTCTAATGGCAAAAGAGGTAAGCACATCCACATATTGAATTATAATTCTGTATAAAGGGTGATTTTTAAACATGTAGTTTTCAAAAAAAAAAAAAAAAAAAAAAAAAAAAAAAAAAAAATAGAGCGCTTCAAAACTAATGTTATGACAAAAAATCTAGCCTTGTTATCAAGGTAAGTGCTTGGTGAATGTTTTAAAAATGATTTCAATTGAGTTATCGCTTTCACTTGATTCCCTCGTTGACTGCATCACATGTAGCGCCGTCTTGTTGAAACCAAACGTATAACGATTGACGTAACTTTTTTACAAATTTGGAACAATAATTCCCTCTGACCACAGAGCATACCAAACAGTGACTTTTTTGAGGATGTTTTGGCGTCTCAAAAAGACCGTTTGGATTATGATCACTTCAAATGCGAAAATATCGTTTATAAACGTATTTACTCCAACAAAGGTATCGATGATCATTTTCGTCTTTGGCCCATCCAGCGAACGTGTGATGCCCTTGATGGTCGTTCGGCTTCAATTTTTGCACGAGTTGGATTTTTAAGATTACAACCCTAGATCCTTTCACTCGTTGGGTCTACTTCGATACTTTGCTCCACAGCAGCAATATCGTCGTGCGCATTTTACGTGGTCTCCGTGCCACAGGCGAAAACTTCGTGCGAAACCGATCTTTGGTTGTTCGTATTGCCGACCAAATGAAGAAAGGAGTACGCGATGCGTCGCAAAAGCCGAATTTGTAGTTTGGAAATAAGCACTCACAACACTCATGAAATAGGAGGCACGGCTTGTAGTTGTAGTTGTCCTGTAGTCCGGATTTCGTGGTTACAGAAGCCGGAAAATTTAAATTAAAAATAATAAATAAAAAAAACTCCCATCATCTATATGAATATTAACCTCCTCGACATACGCTGCTGTTTTGCTATGAGCTGTCTACAACAGCCATTTCGCTTTAAGCTTAATTTATATTGATTGATTTGAGGTGGTAGATACATTAATTGCCACAAATGGCCGTAGGCAACATGCCACAACTTTTAATTATAAGTCAATTTATTGTATGAATTAATATATAGTTACATGTGTATGCACATAAATATATACATACATACATACATACTTACATATGTATATATCTACCGCATTCTGCTGAAAATTTATGTGCAGACTTTTAAAGGAAAGAATATGGCATCCTCTAAATGGCAACTAAAAGCATGAGCATACACTTATATATGTACATACTCGTATATACAAGATAAAAGTCAAAGGAGCTCGCGAAACGTGATTGACAAAGGCCAGCAATAATTCTTCAAACCTCAACTTCTTCTTCATCTCCTTCTTTATTTTTTGGATTATTTGCACTCCTCATTTCATGTTATTTATGTCGAGCCACGTTGCTGCTTTTGTTGTTTTTGTACTGTGCTTGTAGAGTTTTTTGTAACATAAGTTTACGTGTATATACACTTATGCACACATATATGCCGTGTCTTTTGTATTGTATTTGCGCTAAAGGACTTGACAACATGTTGCACTAAATTCTCTTTAGTGGCCTATGACGAAGATACGGACTTACCTACCAAGAAAGTGATGTATGCGATACATATATATATATATACAATAACATATGAACGCTGAGTTGTATGTACAATACATACGTATGTTCGCATATATGTATGTTTGCCAAGGAGCCATAAACAACACCGTCAGCGTTTAATTAAGGAAACGACTACTTGACATGTGGCGAGCAGCCACAAATTTTGTATGCCAAAAGTACAACAACAACACAATAACGATATCAACAATACAACAACAATAATCACAATGACAGAAAACAACAACATCCACAAAAAAAAAGTTCGCAATACTCAAAGAAAGGTATAAAGCGTAACGCAACCCTGTAGGAAATTAAAGACCATCGCGCGTGACTTAAGTTTACTTTGTAGCTCCTCATAATATATTTAATAACATATTTGTACATTTATAATATTTTAGTGTAAGTTAAATTTTACGCTGTCTTTTGTGAGAGCAAGAACACCTGAAATGTGTCTATAGGCTGAATGCTAAATTGTCGCACAATTAGTTTGTTTAAAGTTCAGAAATTGCCTCGATTGTAAATTATTTCCTTATATGAACAGCCTTAGCAATAGAGAATTAGTTAATCCAGGGCTTTATGCCAAATTTCTAAAAAAATCTATTTTTTAATACAAACATTACTTAATCAATCGCCAATTAGTTTCCTGTCTGAACGGACTTAACATTAGAATTTGAGGTAGAGTTTTACGGAAACGCTTTGCAAAAGTTTCACGCATGGCCACCGTATACCTTTCCGGGCAAAAGGCAAACGCCATTGTTGTTGTAGTTGTCACTGAAGCTACTACTTGTTGTCTACATAAAAGCCTGCAGTTACATTGCATTTATTGAAGATACAAACTAAAAGATACAACACTTTGCTGTCACTTCGCAGCAACAAACGCAACAGGGAACGGGGTGGCGTAGTAAAGAAGGAATAGTGTAAAGTAAACGCAGTTAAAAGTTTTACGCGAAACCACAGTCGCATATTCGAGGAAAGAAAAGACGGTCTAGAGTTTACAGTGGAGTTTCACTGGCAAGATATGGATGGAGAAATTACGAACAAAAAACCAAGAAATCGGCAGAAGTTTGTTGGAGCGATATGTTTGTATGAAAGTATCTGTGCAGGTAAACTTAAGGGCAGGGAGCAGGCGACCAGTGGATTGAAATGACTCGCCATGGAATATGGTGATTACCGATAGTTAGGCAGTTCTTTGGTTGGTCTGCTTTTCGTATTTATGACGCAGGCTTTAGTGCCTCCTTCGACATTTCGGAAACTGACCCAATAACTGCATTCCTATTACTATTAGAGTGCAATAAGTTAGGCCTGGTACCTCATATAACCGATCGACAGGCAGCCATTGCAATCACAAGGGATACACCCTAATTATTACATAAGTAGGCTACGAAATGAACACTATTAGCATAGAGATAAACAACCCCACCTTTGCGGTGTCAGAAACTGATTGAGCTCGTACAAACTGCCATAATATAAGATCTGTATGGATGAAATACTACACAGAGATCATGGTAACAGTGAAGTAGTGCTTGGCGATATTTATCACCAGCCAATTACAGACCCCGTAAGTTTCCTAAAACAATTCCTCTTGACAGAGGTCCAGATTTACATCAGTAAAATTTGTGTTGTCATTACACTGCAAAAATTTTATATATACAAACTTATGGGTATTCAAATATTCAAGTACATTCGTATAAACAATCTAGCAAGGGTCTCAATGTTGATTCCTTTAATCTAAGATTGACAACTGTCCTTCGCTTTTTACATTGCTCAAATTACAAATAATCGATTTATGTATATTGATGCTCCGATAAGGGGTTTCCGAAAAGAATAAAATCAAGCTTCATAGCTCCTTATCAATGTTCTGAGACTCAACACACCAGAGAAAAACCATCTTGAGAAGTCGAAAGACAACCACAACCACAGGTAAGGGCAGATATTGTAAAGAAACTGCCAAAAGACATAAACTATTTTGAAAAAAAAAAATGCTTTAATTTTTTGATGTAAAGTATTTTCTTTCTCATTAATTCAAAAAATAATACTAAATTTCGTTTTGTTGTTAAGAAAAATGCGACAATGTTGCCAGACGCACGTAACGAATTTTCAAAACTCAATTAAATGAACAATATTTTGGGTATGACATGATTTCAAAATCGCCTCGATAACTACTTACTGCATTTCTGATCAATTATTTCGTTAATAATTTGTAAAAAAATAAGATTTCCATTTGATATGTTGCACGGGACAAGTTTCATTTAATCACTAAGAATACGAAACCGTCTATACTCGTGGCTTATGAAGTTTCGATTGATTCAATAATAACTTTTCAGTACAAAGGTATGCGATAAAAGTAATTAAAAAACTAACCTTTCACATTTGCGTTTTACAATTTCTTCTATGCTAACTAGATATGTATGTATGTATGTCTACATACCGTAGTATGCGCCACACCTCTATCAGTTGCAATAAATTTTGAAAAGTGCTTTACGTGACTTTAAAGATCATATTGTAAACAGTAAATAATAAAATTTTATTAGTCTACATATTTTTCGCATTTTGAGGTTTTCCTTGTATTGGTTTTGTTTTTAATTATTATTATTGTATTATTTTTTTTTTTTTGCTTTTGTATAAGCAAGCAGTAAACACGTATGCAAATAAATGCGAAAAAATTAAAACTAATGTTTTATTAGTGTCTACACGACTTTTCAATATCATCGCAAACTTCGCACATACATTACTATATACACAAGCACACACATACACACAAATACTTACATAAATGAAAATAAATTATTCACCTAGAAATCTTGGGTAATTAAAAGAGTCTAAGTTGAACGGTGAGCTATTACATTTGTACGTAGTTATGTATGTACAATAGTTAAGCTATAAAACATAGAGCAATCAAGATCTTCGGAAAATACGTCGTATTTTTGTATGTATGTACCTATGTAAGTTTGTGTGTATGGTAGTATGTTTTCATATTGGTAGGGCAGATAAAATCTAAAATTCATCAACTTTTTCATTTCGAATTGGTATAGAGATACAACTTTCATTTAATACACATACACATAGATACGCACACAACTACTTCTATGTAGGTTTGTATGTGTGTGTGTGTGTATGTATATCAGGCACTTGTATGCATACCGTTAGTGCATATAGCACAATTATAACCGCAATCAAAGTTGCAAAATCAAATCAAATTACCAACAACCGAAAAATACAAAAAAACTATATATATATATATATATATATATATATATATATATATATGTATGTATATGTAAGTAAGTGTGTGTAAGTAGTTATTTTTATCAACGTATATTTTACAAAAACAGCCAGTTGGAAAAAATGCATAAAAAAAATTTTAAATTAAATAAACTTCT